CTAGGCCTACAAAAGGTCAGGATCATCAGTATCACTGTCTTCCACCTCCACATCTTGTCCTACTGGAAGGTCTTCAGGGGCAATAAAATGCACTGAGTAGTCATCTCCTATGATAAAAATGTCTTCTGAAATATAACCCGAAGGACCTGTTTTATAGTTAAGTTTTTTTAAAGATAATTAGGAGGAGTAACTCCAACAATAAAAAGTATAGTATAGTAAATACATAAACCAGAAACATAGTTGTTTATTATCAAGTATTATATATTGTACACAATTGTATATACTATACTGTTATATGACTGGCAGTGTAGTAGGTTTGTTTACATCAGCATCACCACAAACAAGTGAGTAATACACTGCCCTGCAACATTAGGATGGCTCTGATGTCCATGACAGATGTCACTAGGCAAGAGGAATTTTTTAGCTCTATTATAATCTTACGGGACCACTATAGTATGTGTCGTTTACACAAATATCATTATGTGAAGCATGACTATTTGTATAAATATAATGAGATATCTTGGGGATGGGACCCAAGTCTAAACACAAAATTCATTTATGTTGTATATACATAGCCTGAAGGTAATTTTATATAATATTTGTAATAACTTTGTGCATGAAACAAAGTTTGTGTACACTGAACTGTCAGAAAGCAAAGCTCTCCCTATGTCAGCTACCCATGTGGACAATATGTGGTGTCATGTTGGTGCTCCAAGTTTTGGATTTGGGGCATTTTGGATTTTCAGATTAGGAATGTTCAACCTGTATATACTTTATTGTAAATATTTATTAAATTGAATTTTAGAATAGGTAATCTAAAAGAACTTCATGATTTGTATAATTTTTTTTTTGCCAAAGTTATTCTTTCAAATATTGTATCCCTAAGCTTCTTATTTTTGCACTAGGAGATTGTATATTTTGTATTACAAGTTGTTTTATGCTAAACCTTAACTTACTCTGATTTTTAACACAGATAATACAATCTAATTCTGTTGATCTCACACTATAGAGACAGGTAATTTTAAAGCCAGAATTTCAGGGTCTCTTATATCAACTGATGATAAGTTTTAGACTCAGATAAACATCTGAAATTAGTCTAGTACCTTAACTTGCAGCTTTGCTTCTTGAAGTCGACCTTTCCATGAGGCTACAAATTTAAGGCTATCCACAGAACAACCCATTGCCCTGTAAAGGTAAAGCATCAAATGTCACAAAGCAATAATCCTCAGGGATTAAAATATGAAGAGTAAATGAAGATAGATATATTCCTATTTATTTAAACATTAAATATTTACCATGTATAAATAGTAAGATCTATTATACTATGTATAATATC